AAGAATCTGCACGACACTTGAGCCACCACTCTTCAGACATGACCTGGGTTTTTTCTTTTCTCGCCCTTCATGTTGGCCCTGGTCGCGGGTTTTCCCATGCAGACAGAGAAAGAGAAAAAACCAAATCAGTGGACCGATCACTAAAGTGACAAGGGGTAGAGGACGAGAGAGAATACACGCGATTGGCTGCCTTCATTGACGCGAGACCAGGATTCTTTGCTTCAAGTGTTCTTCTAGCCAGGGGCGTCGGCCAACGAGGCGGGGGCTTGATTGCAGGGACATGGGTCTTTGTCTAGGGATAGCCACAAGGGGGATGGCCGGGCCGTTGCAAAGGCCAAAAGTCAAAGCCTAGGTGAGTTTAGCTGCCCTCTAATTCACAGGCTTCGTGGCCAGGTGTGCGCTAAGCTTACAGTGAACGGCCGGTGCCCACCTCCGCTGAGTACCTTACTGTCCAGTGTGACATGGGGTCCACTGCCCGAAGGTTCGGCTTCAGCTCTCTAATCAGGCAGTTGTTAGCAGGGCTTGGGTCCCCCATATCTTTTGTTTCATCCCCCCGTCCCCACGCCTGCCGTCCAGTTCGATTCTCTCCATCTAGTTATTCCCAAGTGCTTGCTCGCTTGACTTTCTCTCCTTTGCCTCTGTCTCTGTCCTTGTCTTTGTCCTTCGACAAACTTGCATTGCATACGTCGGAAAAGGCCTGTATCTTCAATTCTTCTCGAAAACGCAAAGCATCACGATCCATCGCTCCCTTGATCGTGTTTGCTTCTCAGTGTGCATTGATTTACTAGTAGCTCTGTATCTCTCTGCCTCTGCCAGAACCTCTTTATCTTCCTTCATTTACACTCTCACTCTTTTCTTGTATCCCTTCGTCGCAGGATCGATCAATCAAACCTCACGGATACCGACCGATACACCTATTTTCGACGTTGAACGTTCCCTTACAACCACCACATTCTCACGTTGTCACTGCAAAGCCGGTCAGCGTAAATCACTGTCTTTCTCGAAGAACCGACACATTCACATCGATTCACGCCAGACGTTGATCTTCCGATCCAGAAGTCGGATCTCACACGGACATCTTATTCATAAACTCAAAAGGACTGGACTCCTTGTCTCACTACGCATTCAACGTCAACCGAGATCACCTCACACCAACGCTCTTTGCTCGCTTGCCTAGCAATAGTTCCAAGCAAAACTTGCCTCAAAAAGAAAATTGGTGTCAAGTCAGTGGCACAACCCTCTCTACGATTTCTTCTATCACAGGACGTTGTTCACTGGCAGCAACTCCTCGTCACCCTACAAACTCACTTAGAACCCGGCCAAAAACCAAAAACCCGTTCGACAAAAGACGTAACTCAGAATATTCAAATTTCCAAACCTTCAACCATGTCGCTCTCACGCGCTTTCACAACTAGAAAGGCCAAAATGGCCGGCCAGACCGAGATGGGAGAGCAACAAGTTCAAATGCCGCACCGTAGTAACTCGGCCCGCGATAGACAGCATCCTATTCTACGACATCAGATCTCTGCTCCGCTTCAACTTGTTCACACAACCAACATGCTCTCCTACAATGCTCCCGATATCCCGCATGCTGCTCTCCGCAGCAAGTCGTCTCTGCGTTCCGTTGGGGAAGAATCCGAGGCTCCTTCAACTACCGAGTCAACTCCACCTACGAGCCCGGATGTATCTCCTGTCGAAGAGTGCCCAGGCCCTAGGCTCAACCATCTGTCAACCTATTTCAGTGTCTCGGACAAGCCAGCTGTCCTACCAAAGATCTCCGAGGCTCCTGCAATTCCTAAGCGTTCGCCTTCGCACACTAAGCAGAACTCGTACGAAGCGCTCGCCCGTCAACGATCCACCTCGCAGATGTCCAGAGACTCAGAGCACTCAGTATCGACCAAGGCCAGCTTCACCTTTTCGCGATCATCGTCAACTTCTACTAGGGCGTCATCAGCTTCATACGTCTCTGCCAGCCAGGCCCAGAAGGCTCCCCCGATGCCTGTTCCGGCAGTCCCCGCGGTCGCTCCAGTTCCCCCGCCATCTTTCCAGCAGCGAGTTCTCAAGGATTCTCACCCATTTGGTCACGAGCTTGCACAAGTCACCGAGCTCGCCGAGGAGTACAGCACCCGACCCACAACCAAGGAGGATGAGGAGGACCACCGATTCATGAAGTCCAGAGGTCTGAACAAGTTCTCTCCCGAGGAGTATCTCAGCGACGTTCAGAGCCTCATCCTCAGTTTCTTCCCTGAGGTGTCACATGCCAAGCCTACAACACCGCAGTGGATTTGATCCAGGGGCGCACTCTTCACCGGCACACCGGTTTCTTAATTCAGCAGTACATAATTGATAGACATTTTACGACCATGAGAAGGGGGTCCTCAGTTGGACAATGGCAGACATGACTAAAAAGGTACATAGTTATTGGTTGCTCCACGGAGCGGCATCTATTCACTCGTTGAAGATTTTTTCTCTTTGAACACGTCTCTTTTGGTTTGGCTTGGGTTACTTTGAATGAAAGGACCGTGTCTGATGGCTCAGATGCTCAAGAGTGTTTGACCGGACATAGGTTTCAATGGGGCGTTTGATAGGGCCAGGGTGGAATAAGGACTGGATGGATGGATGGATGAATGGACGGATGGATCTATGTATGGGATGGCCTGTTTTCTTTTGCTGGATGATTTGTTTCATGATGTTGTATCTAGATGGATACTTGGTCATGCTACCTACCTACACACTCGCCATAAACGGCAATTTTTCCTTTTCACACTCCGATTTCCGTTTCTAGAGCGATGATCTTGATGCTACTGATTTTGAGTTAAGCTGAAACTGCTGATCTTCAGTTGTTGCAACGGACAGTCTGAAGGTCAAAATAAAATAGAATAAAATACGTGTCTAGCGTGTGCAGCAGAATGAGACATTGTGAAACTTGTCATCAATTAGGAACGAGCATTTTCATGCGGTGCTCGTTACTTTTTTTTTACTTTTAGACTGTTGGGTACTCGGACTGTCTCCCTTGAACCCCGGCAATTGTACAAGGGCCGCTGCAGGATCGGAAACACGCCTTGCTCTAACTCAAACAACAATTTGGTATTATTAGAGTAGGGGCTTAGTATGAAAGACTGCTTGAGGATATCCAACTTTGGGCAATAAGTTGACGTAGCCTTTGATATTGACTTGTCTATCTTTGCCCTTTTTTATTCTCTCTCTTCTTTTATGTGTGCTCGTTGAGGTTTTGAGTTTTGGGCAGCTTCTCCCGTTGTGGCGTTTGGGTTTTTCACATGTGACGCGTCTGGCTTTTGAACTTTCTTTGCTGAGGGTGTGAGAAATAAAGAATAAAATACCAGATTCCATCTTATTCCCGACCAAGGGTGGTGGCTTCGGCTGCCATGGTAGGGGCAGAATTGCTAATTGTCGTGGCTGTACATGATGGTTCAGCTTGTGTGATATAAATCATCTATCTAATGGTTGATACACAATCATGAACACTTACAAAAGCAGCATCAGCAACTGGGCGCCTTACGCTGCTCTCCTGCTATATCACAGAAACCTAATGCGTGCATGTTCTGAATATATTTCTATCTAATCGAGCCTAGAAATTTGGGTCATCTTGCGCCGGTTTTATATCAATGGAATAAATACCTAGGCAGGTAGCTGGAGATTTTGGCTTAACCTAGACTACTTCTCTAGACAGCCAGGGGCTTCTCAGTAAGATCCTTCAGATCCGAAATATTTCGCTGCTGATATTGATCAATGTCTTGCTCATGAAATACTCACGTCTAAACCAAGCCGCAATAGTAGATGCCCTTCGCGGCCAAACACTGCAAATTCCCAATATTCATAATTTCTTCTGTGGTTGGCCCAACCCTCAAGGTCAACTCAACCGCCACCATGAGCACGTTATGCCAATCGTCAATCGAGCGGTTGAGCGCATGGCTACAGCATATCCGTTGATCGCCCATCGAAAAAAAGACGACATTGCCTCTCTGGCTTGTTCACTATATCCCCAAGCTCGTAGGTGGCAGATCGAGGCTTTGACTCTCTATACGACGTGGCTCGTTTGCTGGGATGATGCTGTTGATGCTAACGAGGGCGATCTGGCGGGTGACTTTATGCGGGCAGAGCGTTGGAGGGAGCAGACTATGCGCATGGTGCGTGAGGCATTGGCCGTTGACGAAATGAGTACGAGTGAAGCGGCGGATGACGATCCCATCAACGGCGTGTTTCGAGAGTTCGGTGCGCGATTCTGTCAGACGGCGCCGAGGGATCAACGGCGCCTCTTATACGATGAGATCCAATTCTTCATCAACAGCTGCGCGGCTGAGCAGAAGCTCTGTCTGGCCAGTCGCGTACCTGACTACGAGCCGTACATGAAGATGAGGATCGGCACTGTCGGTGGGAGAATGCTCTGCAGTCTTGTACCATATGCAACGGACGAGAGGCTTCCAGGAGCGTCATCGCCAGCTCCAGAGGTCGTTCATTTATGGACGCAAGTGAGCATTCTACAGAGCTTGATGAATGACATGCTGTCGCTGAAGAAGGAGTTGCAGACTGATTGTGTCATCAATGCCGTTGCAGCCATCATGGAGCCTGGCATGAGCCTGGATGTTGTAGTTGCTAAGCTGGAAGAGAGGATGAAAATGGCAGTCAACAACTATGATGATGCAGCGAATATGTTGCTTCATAAGACTGAGTTTCAAGGACAGACACACCCCATCGTGAAGAGATACGTGGATGGATGCCGTTCCATCGTCACAGGCACACTTAGATTCACGTACGAAGACTTTCTCTCTCTGTCAACAACAAAGCTGACTTGTCACAGATTAACATCGCCCAGATACAACATACAAAAACTCATAGAAGAAGACGGGTCATTAAACATTACACTTTAAAGTTTCCCGATATATACCGATATATACCAATCTATACCCCGGACCATATCCTAACTTTCTAATGATCCCCGTCCCAATGCATGCATAGGTAAAAGAAACACTCACAAGGGTTCAAAGGTGCTGTTGCCCTTGGTTTTGGGACGACACCGCCTTCACAAGGTCTGTGATGGTAACAATCCGATACCCCTGCCGTTTGAGTTCGGGAAGAACAGTGCGCAACATGGGCACAGTCCACGATCTCCTGTCGTGGCAGATAATGATGGCTCCCGGGTGAGCCATGCTCAGAATATGCTTCGCGTTGGTATCGGGGTACGGTATCTGGGGGTCGTGGGGATACACACTGCCCAAGGTGATGCGAAAACCCTGGTTTCCCAACACATCCCGCATCCGCCTGTTGAATATTCCAGACCCTGGACGGAAGTAATTGTTGGGGAGGATCTGACCGTTGGCGGCGTATGCCTCGGTCAGCATGTCCTTGACGAGGTGGACTTCCCCCAGCAGCTTTTCGTTACTGAGTGACTTGGAGGGCTCATCATGCATGGCATGGTTTCCCAGCTCATGCCCTTTTGCAACCAATTTGACGAGCTTATCCTTGCGACCCTCAACCTGCGATCCTATGACAAAAAACGTAGCGTGGGCCTCATTCTCCTCCAGGACTTGCATGATATCGTCGGTGTGGGCGGAAGGCGCATCGTCGATAGATAGGGCGATGATCTTTTGGTCGGTGGGCTCCTCAAACAGGACGTCGGGGTACTTCCTCCGGAGCCAATTGATGAGGTATCTCGGAGGTTTGTAGACGCAATAGGCTGAGTAGAATGGGAAGATCAGGAGGCCTACGAGGACGAAGAGGGCTATAATGGTAGCCATGCGATTACGCCTGACCCTTCGCCGTAGCTTGGTGGGCAGGCGGAAAAGGGAGAATCTGGCCATTGGAGCATTGACTAGATGGTCAACTGCGGCCGCAAGTCCCAGAAACGAGACTCTGCAGCCTGCACATGCTCCCTCTTCTCAAGAGGGAGGGAGAGAGGGAGGAGGGATGAGAGGAGGTCGGTGATGGTTGTGTGGTGGTGTTTTTGTTGCTGTAGAGGTTAGATACAAAGAGACCGGGAGGCAGCGAAAAGGGGATGAGCATTCATGGTCACGGCGCCTCATGCAAGACGGGACCCCTCTACCTACCTTAGGTACCCTGGGCTGGCCATTTACGCTCCCGCTCGCGCTTCTGCAGCGTCTGTTTCGACCAATGAAAGACGAGCCTAGCGCCAAACCCCTGCGCTTGACGCGGCACAGAGAACCATCATTGGGGGGACGTGCACAGGGCTGACACCTACACAGCCCAGTGGCACAGTTGATCGTTTCTGAAAGCGCAGCAAGCCAAGCACATCAGTTACGCTTCCAGCAACCAGCAACCAGCAACCAGCTCCCAAGATTGGCGAAGGTTCTCAAGCGCCTAAACCTTGTTTCTCATCCTAATTTGAGCATTCAAGCGCGACTCTGGTTCGTTGCTCAGCCCTATCGCGCTTGAGACAGCCCCCAGGCCCTCTAAGCGATTGTTTCGGAGGTTTAATGATGCAGCATGTGGCTGCATTGGTACACGGGATGGCTGAATTAGCTGGCCGGTTCACATGTAGCCGATCGGGAGGCGCCCTTGCCGAGAGTACTGGGTATTAGTGACGATGTCAAGTTTTGTTGGTGTTGGGTTTTCATGATGCCCTGATTTTGGTGGCCTCCGAGACGGGAGTCATGATACTAGCTGTGAGAGACTTGTGATGGCTGAAGGTGTGAATAACTCCTGGGCATTTGTATCTGAGATAATTATGATCATAGAGTACCTAGCTATGCTCTCTGTTCCATGTCAACTGTTCTGTCTCTGGAATGTGTTCAGATTTAAAGCTGTCCCATAGCAATCCAGGTACTCTACTTGCATTGTGAAAAACCTCGTGATGCATCGACAGGCTCCCTCAAAAGTCTTGACAAGAGAACTGTTGATCAAGAATAAAACGCGTGACGTTGGTGAGTTCACTTTCCATAGCCAATTCGTCCCTGTCATTGGGTTGGGTTGGATGAGCCTCTATCCATGCTAGGAAAGCCATCTAATTTTGATACCGGAACAAGGCTAGCAACTTCGGCGGCCTGCGAAGACTGACGTCTTTTGTTTCCAATTCCCTGCATAACGTTCTGACTCTAGCCTGCATCCAGTAAGCTTGCTGACGGCTCCAGGGGGTCCCAGGCCCTTGGAGAGAATCCCCCTGCACGGCCACGATCAACTATCGCTGGGGTTCCGAGGAGCGGGCGTTTCTCATTGGTCGAAAGCTGCGGCCTCCCGGCGTCCCCGCGAATAGGGAAGCTTCAGCCACGACCGCAACTCAGTTGAAGCATGCTTGAGGAATTAGAGGCATCCAAACAATAGGAAGTGACATATGTCAAGGGATGTTTCAATACATCATGTTTACAAAAGATGCATTCAGGCTCAGGTTAATCTGCATATCCACTTCATTCACAGACAATTCAGTCCATAGATACCCAGTTCTATTTGACCATCGCCGTTACCAACTCTCCACTCAAACAACTTACACGCAATTGACCAATCACCAACGACCTCACTCTCAGCAACCATGAGTCGTCGACAAGACCACCACCACTACCAACACCAACACCAACACCAACAGCGCAACTACGGCCAAACCTATAACACAGACAGCTCCAGGAACTGGAGTGACGAGGCCGTCAGAGGCAGCTGGGATTCCAACTACCAGAGAACAACATCAGCCAACACATCACCAAGAGACCAGTCCCAGGCCTGGAGGCGTCCAAGTCCCCAGGCCTACGACAGACGCCAGACCATGGTCAACCAATGGCTCGGCCAACAGTACAGCCACGACCCCTCCAACGTAGTCGATGCTGTCTCTGATCTCACAACTCCCACGACATCTCCGGCCTTTAGTGACTCTCCCACATTTCCCTCTCGAACTCAGGAAGCACCTCCATATCAGACACATGCTGTCGCCAATGACTTTCTCGCACCGCCTTTGAGGACTTCTATCCCCCACCGACCGCATGATGGCCACTATCCCAATGCCCCCCCAGCTTCCTCTCGAGGCTCTACATCTTACCGCCTTGACAACAGATCCGTGGACTATCGACACATGGAGCCCAGGTCGGCCGAGCAAGATCTTCGAGGAGTTGGCTCATTCGCCGACAGAGATCGCTCACGGTACGTCTATAACTCCCTAATAACAGGTAAACACCACTGACTTATATCTCTATAGCCGGGAAGTCAAGTACAAACCACTCGGCAATTGGTTTGGCCTCTGGTTACCTCCTCAAGAATGAGCTTGGCCACATCAACACCCAAGATTCGACACCACTTCAACTTCAATGCTAAGCAACGATCCCAAGCGCTCAGCCACAACTTTTGGCCAAAAGGCACCGAGAAGAGAAGAGCATAGTACTCTTCATTGCATCTCGACTTCTCTCGTTCTCATTTCTTGTTTTCCTCTCCTCTTATCTGCTCTTCTTTCTAGATTTCTCTCTCTCTTCTCTCTTTAACACACAGCCTGACTTACATAAACACCTGGGTTACGTTGGGTTTACATGTCTCCCCTATTTTGTATGGCATTTCTTCTTAGATCGGACAGTCACATTCCTTTGATTGTGTTAGACCAGTGTTGTGATCTTTTCATACAAATCTACCCTCTCTCTCTTCTTTCTGGTCTGTGTATATCTGATATATCACGACATTCTCTGTCTCATGGACGAGCCATTCAAACAATGCAAGCCATTGTAGAGGATATCCATTTCCATGATGCATTTTTCATTTTCTCTATAAACAAAACGTTTCTGTTTTTTCTTTCCTTCTATCCAAAAAAATGACTGTCTGTTCTAGTTCTCTATCCCCTTCATTTACTGACCCCCCTTCTCCTCTTCCTTTCTCAAAGCCTCCAGGCCCTGGAGCAAATCGTTCTTGAGATCTTCAAGACCTTCAACACCGATGCTCACCCGTAAAAGTCTCTTATCAATCTTAGGATCTGTCATCGCACGCCACTCAATCAAACTCTCAACACCACCCAAGCTAGTGGCATGGTGGAACAACTCCAACTTGGATGGCAGTCGCTTAGCGACATCTCCATCGCGAAGATACACCGAGAAAACAGGGCCATAGCCATTGGGCATCTGCTTCTGTAACCAACTACCCTCGATTGATGCTTCGGGCTGGAGACTGGCGTGCTGGACACGCTCAACGAGGGCGCCGATCGCAGATGAAGGATCACGCTGCTGCTCAGCCAACCAGGCAACAAGTGCAGTAGCTGTAGCACTCTGGCGCTGGACGCGGAGCTCGAGAGTTCGAAGGGAGCGGATACCCAGCCACCCCTCCAAGCTACCCATAACAGAACCAAGGAGAAGGCGGTCGTTGAGGAGACTACGTTCCCAGTCTTTGTGCTTGCGGTTGACAGACAGCGTACCGCAGAGCATATCGGAGTGACCACCAAAGTATTTTGTACCGCTATGCATGACAACATCAACGTCATACTGGAAAGGATCCTGCAGCGGAGGTGGTGCAAATGTCGCATCAACAGTCAGGTAAGCCCCGGCTTTCTTGGCCTTTTCTGCATATGCTGCAAGATCGCGTGCCTCGCCAGTAGGGTTAAGGGGCGTCTCGACATGAATGACATCGCCGGGCTCGAGGTCCTCAACAGCACAGTCCAAAGGCAGTTGCTTGAGACCTGTCAGGCGAGAGAGAATGCTGATCACTCCGTGGCAGCCGTGGTAGCCATCTCCAATTGCAATGCGCTTAGGGTTCAGATGGACCAACATGGCGTGGAAAGCAGACAGACCAGAAGAGTAAGTAATTGTCGGAGCGCCAATGACGGATGTGAGAATTGCCTCGAGACGAGTGGTGTTGGGGCCAGTTGCCCGAGAGTAGACATGAGAGTCCAGAGGGTTATTGGGCTACACAAGTTTAGTAAAATTTCGTCATGGGAGAAGTCAGAAAGCTGTCAGTGGGCTTCATGTTGGTCTTGGGTCGACTCCAGTCATAAGATTCCCGACCATCTGGTAGTCTCTTCTGGAGACACCTGCAGCAAATCAAAACAAGGAAGCATGCACACTTACATCGGTATTATCCCAGGCCTTTAGTGCATCAGGGTCATTGCTGTACCTGAAAGTCGTGCTGACATGCATAGCCGGCGCAACGGCTCTGTGTGACTGGATGCCCTCGTCGGCATGAACTGCACGGGATGCCAGTGACAGCCCGGCGAGGGAGCTATCAAGTCCGGTCCGGGCCCCGGCTGCACCGTCCGGTACCGCCGAGACGTCCTTGAGGTTGGTAGGAACTTCGTCAGAGGCCATGATCTCCGTCTTTGTGCTTTCAGTTGTTTTGAGAATTTGATGGAAATTTGTAAAGTTGATTGATATAGTTGTAGTCTAGGTGAGGGGCAATCTTTGATACTAATAAAGACTGGAGTGTTATTAGCCCAATTGGCACGTCCCCAATGCTGTTGACTCGCAGAGAACGGATTGCGAAGTTAAATTCGGCCTCGTCTGCTTCTATATCTGCTCATGCCTGGCGCCCTCCCAGTGATAGAGCGGGGCCTCTAAGGAATCTAGCAATGACAAGCACGCAATAACAAGTGGATGCAGCTGTTGGAACAATATCTGCGGTTTCTTTTACTGGACTGCCTCCGTCATCGGCTATATTACCACGCCCTATGGCAAGATCTTGCCGTGCTGAATATAAGCTCAACCATAATTATCCAATCAATATTGCATCGACTTTGACAATGTAACACTAAATCAGTTTCTCGTTGAACTCAGACATCCACTCAGTTTATACTTCTGTAACCGAGGCCGAGAGTTTATAGCTTATGATTATAACGTCCTCACCGTGATGACCAGCAACCACTCGAAGCCATTACGCAGATGCATAGTACACTGAAACATGTATATCTTCTCATTATCATTACGTAGCTCATATTCGGTCCATTTCAAGGGACACGACCCCATAGCAAATATTGCTCGCCCCTCTGGGCATTACAACTCCACGGTCAGCCCACATTGCTCTTTGCACAACGCACTCATCCAATCCTTGATTCTCCATCAAGGTATACCCAGGTCTCATAGCGAATGCAATTCTAGCATTATCCCGACCTAATCAACCGAAAAACGCCGAGAATATAAATGAAAACTCCAGGTATCTCTAATACAATGTAGAAGAACAAAATTTTGATCGTGCATCTCATTGCATTTCTTGGCCATCGGTTGAGACAGTCACCTTGGGGGATGCGTTGTCCATGGGAGTGAGCTCCGAACCTTGGCCGCTCTGGGCTCTTTTGCGACCATGCATGAGGAAACGGGATACAGTAGGGTTGCTCGAGCTGTCCTTGTCGGAGAATTTCGAGAAAAAACCCCGCTTCTGAGGCTGTGCCTGGGGAACTGGCTGCTGCTGCTGCTGCTTATGGTCGTCCAGTCCTACGTCTTCAAAGCGCTCCTCGGCGGTTGGTGGCTGCTCGAATGATCGCTCGACCGCAGATCTAGGTAGTCGGGGAAGACGTGCTGAGTCAAGGCTCTGGCGTGTTGGGAAATCGCTGTTGGGCATTGGCGATCGTGCAGAAATGTCCTGTTGCTCATGTTAGTCGTGCGCTAAGCAAATGCGAAGGATATCTGATTTGACGGATATCAGATTATAGGAGATACATACGAAAGATCGGCGGTAGGAATCAAAGGACTCGCGGGAAATAGAGAAATGTTCAATGTCGCCGGAACTGCTTCGAGTATCTGTCGAGTTGCGGGTTGAGAGATACTTTCGAGGCCACTGGCCCTTTTCCTCAGTAGGTGATGGCTTTGCGACCGTTAGCTTCAAATCTTGACATTTTGCACGTTGGGGCTAAAAACGACTTACAGGAAGATAAACGCCACTGTCGTTGACAACTGTTGCGCAAAGACAAATTAGCCAAGTTCCTCTGGTCTTGTGACAAGATGCCAAATGCGCCTCTTCATGACTTGCCCCCCACTGCGGAGGTTGAGGGGGAGGCCATGAGAGACGGGAGGCGACTAGGGTCGGTTGACATACCGCTCATCTTGTATTCGCCATTGTCGCGACCTTGACTTCGAATGCTTAAAACGGGGGTGGACTTGGAGCCGACAGTATCGACTTTCTCGAAGCCAGGGGTAGAATCAGGACGTTGGTTCTCATCTTGAATGATAACACTGCCAGGGCGACGAGCAAAAGGGTTGCGGATAGGCATTGCGAAAGACAAGCGGCGGAAGCTGTTGATGGAATATTTGATTGTTGGTATATCAGAAGATGGTGTTGTTGAGACAAGCAGCCGATTGAAGTCCGGAAAGGTGTGATATGTACCACGATGTATTACAGGCACAGGACAAAAACGAGATGGAAGGAAGGGAAATATGACATCGAGGAGAGGGAAGAGGAAGGAAGGAAGGAAGGAAGGAAGGAAGAAGGGAAGACGAGACGGAGGACGGGTTTTGGGGGCAGCCGATGTTTAAGTTAATTGACTTTTAGAGCCGGGGACGACGACGGGGAAGGCGGAACCCCAAGATGGGAATGGATACAAGGTAGGTAGTCTAGGTATTGGAAACGGGAAGGGGGAATGGGAATTGGGACTCGTGCTTTGCCCAGTTAGAGGACGAATAGGAAAAATTGAAACATAGAAACAGCCTGTGGATCGATGCTAAGAACTCTTAAGTGGGCGAGATGTGTGTGAGACTTGGCGATTACCTAGTAGAGTGAGAATTGTGATTGTATGTATGTGTATATGTAGGTATGTGTGGATAAACGAATACGTGTGTGCGTGGCACCACCGAGTCGGGTCAAATCCTCGCTTTCGAAGAGGGTGTGAAACATGAGATTAGTTAGGGACCGAAGTGAGAGTCCACAATGTATAAGGGTGATGTTGAGTCTGAGAGATGGTTGAGAAGGGCCTCGGCATCTTCTTTACCATTTGTTTTGCCTTTACTATCTATCCATCACTCATCATTTTCGAAACATAATTTTCTACCGATTGACAAAAAGAAAAGGAAAAAAAAAAATAAGCATCAACTATTTGCACTAGAGGCCTAATAAGCATTGCTTGCCATTTGAGAACCGCACCGGATGCTGCTCTGCTTGGCTGGGCATTCCAGCGTATTGTAGGTACACACAGCACAGCCATCTTACAAACTGCATGTCAGCCGAGCATCGCCAGCAGATCAGCACAGCACTAGGGTCAGGTCCCAGGTTGGCCCTCCCCCCGGAGTTCAGGGACTTGATTGACACCAACAATTGCCAAGACTGGAAGGGTTAAACGCTTACCGTCATCGGGTCCATCGTCCAACAACGATCCTATTGGCATGGCACAACAACAGCTCACACACCAGGAATCGCAACAAGCAAGATCCGGGCCGCTGATAATCTCCAATACGACACACTGTGTTGAGATAGCGATGCTGGCGGCACGATACAGTAAGTAGATCACCTGAATCAAGGCCTGCAGCAGACGGAAGGCATCCTGATCGACACCTCACCAACCAAGGCAGACTCCCAGAAGAGATGGCAATCATGTCTGCAGTTAACCCGGCGCGGCATCTGTCCCGAATTTGGCAACGTTGCGGCACCCCGTTCCGTTTCTGTTCCAAGATAACGTGCCTGATCCTGTTTGGGATGGTGAAAGTTAGATGTTGGAGGTTTGATGGTCTGGTCCCTATGACGACTTGGTCAAGGTTCCCTGATTCAGGTCCAATCCCGCCAAGACTCTGTTGTTCAAGGGCTCATTGATTCCAAGTTGGTGGTCGCTAACGTCAGGTCTTGATGTCAGGACTGATTTTGACTATCTCTTTGATTGGCCATCTTCCCATACGTGCAGACAACACTTTTTGGTGGTGATACTTTCTGATTGCAACAGTGGTAAAGTGGTCCAGAGCCAATGTCCGGGATATCCGAAGGGTGGATCGATCCTCAGAACAGGCCCCTTCTCCCTTGAGAGGAACCGAAAAGCCGATCCGGCCTTCAATCGGTGTTGCCAGTGACCCACTAACACCCGGCCGATTTCAAGTCCCGGGCTTTCATTGCACCCGACGCCGATGGTGACATGATTCAATTGTAATTGGGCAGACTAACATCTTTAGACTTTTTCTCAGCTTACTGTTATGGCTTTCTTTTCGAAGAGGCGGGTTAGATGCTAATGTAAAAATTGTTCCCATGACTCAGGCGAGACAACACCATATAGCTTGCTTATCTCCTTGCAGTAAACACCCAACATGCATACCTACCTTACCTACCTCAGGAGAGGCCAGAAAGTTTAGGCGCTTATTCCTAAGAGACAGAAATATTTGACCAAGTTAGCCTAGACTTGTATGACTCTTTGGTGGGTTTGTTTTGGAATTCTCTCCCAAGTCCTAGACTTACTTGCTCCCTGGGGTTTACCTACTTATTTATTTATCATGAAGTGCCTCCTTAAGACTCAACTGAGCACTCACGAAGTCACATATGGGATACAGTTTAAGCATGCTAATAGACTAACCTCAAAGTGCCTACCTTACCTCATGCTGCTTCAGAAGACACGTCTCTCCCCTCACGTTTTCTCGTGTAACACGATAACTTGTGTCAATTTGGCTGGAATCTGTTGCTACCCGAAACATGTTTCAATGTTCTGAAGACCAGACCAGACTAGGGTGACGCTTACCAGCATACAGATGACGGTTAATGGAGTGTTTTAGTAGTTTGTCTATTGCGGATTTCCTTCTGATTGAACACCTGATACTATATCCTTGGCTCATCGTCCCATGGATACCAAACAACATGGACAAACGGCCTTGATATCTTGCAATCGGTTACACACTTATTCTCTCCCATCTAGGTAATCTGTCCAGCTCGGCCTGACCATGTGTATTCAAGAAAAGCTTCGACGCCTCATGGAGGCTCGCTAGCCCGGTATTGAATGGTATCTTCCTTGAGTTGGGCATGTTCTCTAGACCTCAGGAAAAGTCCTTTTCAACAGGCATATTCTGTTCCATTTCGTTTAGTTACCTAGTACCAGTTAAGGTGTTTACCGAACGGCACAGACGGGAGCTGCTGGTTCATTCTCCGAGTGACACTGGCCACTGCCTATCCGCACCTGCCTACGGATGTCAGTGAATATTGGTAACTTCCAGACGATTCATCGCACTTGCACTCCCAACAGTCTCGATCAGCAATGACACGTGCTAATCTGGCTATGGCACTCACGAGGCTCGTTTTAGAGCTTGTCTTTCTTGTTGCTTCCTTGCCCGAATCCGTTACCACGCATCACCCCATTCACTCTCATTTTTGGAACCTGGATTGCCATGTTACAATTTTGGAGCCTTTCAAACATCCAGATCGTCCGAATGTTTTTGTAAAGTTGAAGCATATTCTGTACTCTCTTTCCTTGGAGCTCTGTTAGTCTTCATAGTATCAAGTCTCATGATGACTGCCTTCTTTGTCGACTGGGATCTCTGGCAAGAGATGACTTTCGTACGTACATCTAACTATCCATGGATAATTTGACTTCATAGTCCTCTTCGAGGACACCTGCAAAGTATCGTTTCAAAGACTAACTGCAAGTCGTAGGTTCTTGGGTGCTGCATCGTTCTTGTTTTCGCCATGGGACTTGTGAAACTATGGTGGTCTAACCGAGCCATACGCCGTCTTGAGATTATCGACGAGGAGAAGCGCGCACGAATCTCCCTCATGTCGCGTTGTGGCATCGAAAACATGCGACCTCCCGAGATTCCTTTCGGTGTTCGTGCTATCCTGAGCGGCGTCGAGGTGGAGGGTATCTGGATCTCAAGGCCCAATTCGCCTGGGCCATGCCAACTCACACCAGTAGCAACTCAAGTTGGTCGCCGCATTAGAATATCCAAAGGAAAGGGGAAAATGATAGACATAGGTTTATCAGAATGTCTATCAGACACACTCGACCCCGAAACTTCGCCAAGTTACCCAACATCTACAAAGACAAAGACATCTCAGCAAGATGGTATTGCTTCAACAGAGGGCATCCAGTGCCAACAAGAACATGTCAGCTCAGCTAGTTCAATGACGAAAACTCAAGTTGACTCGATTGTCCGACGGAATACGCAGATAAACTGCACCCGCACCGGTTCTAGATTACCTAGCAGTTGCAACGATGACTTCATTACGCCAGAACAAACACCACCGGGATCTACCGTAAGCCAGACAGAAGCTTTCGAGAAGGGGAAAGGACACTCGGTATCAGACACCATCTTCAGTATAGAGCAGCTAAATGCCTTGCCACACGTGAGAAAGCCATCGACGGGAAGCATGGCAATGCCAAGCGGGCACCCCAGAGTCCTCAGATCAGAGAAAAGGCGATTAATATCGGAATCGCCAAGCAGTTAGCAAATCATCACGAATTCTTGCAAGTGCCCAATTGCTTTGATTGTCATTGAGGTGCTATCCAGTTGCTTTAAATTTGTCGGGGCTCCGCCGTAAATCCGTCGGCTCGTTCCCGCGGGATCTAGGGTCTTGGAACGACATCGGTAGCCAGATCTAGTGCCATCACATCATTCAACTCTGGAGAACCAGTGCCCCAAGATCTAAAAGCGCGGGGAAGATCATTGGCTAATTGTATAAAGGCTTCCAAGATATCCCCGGCACCTATTGATTCCTTTACTCCCTTAGAATTAGCTTCTTGTCTCATTGAAGATACTTGAATACCAACGACACATTGTCCAGACACCTCGAGCTGTTCAAGAGTAACACCAAAAATGACATCTCAGATTATTCATGATATTGCAACGAAGGGCTTTGATGACGCTCAGTCTTATGACGCGCACCGGCCCTCTTACCCCCCTGCTGCTGTCGCCAGTCTTCTGGGGCGTCTCGGTCTTGAGGGTCAATCTGGACACCATATCCTAGACCTGGCAGCTGGCACTGGCAAGTTCACTGAGCTTCTGTCTGCCAGGCCGGAAGGGTATAAAATCATTGCCGTAGAGCCACTGGACTCGATGAGAAACACTCTTGTTGCCAAGAAACTCCCCAGAGTGGACGTTCGGCCAGGTACGGCAGCTGAAATGAAGGACGTGGGAGACGGATGGGCAGACGGCTGCATTGTGGCTCAGGTAAGCTAGATGCCTTGTCTGGAGAGAGCACTAGTCAGCTAGAAATCAGACTGACATTTGAAGGCATTTCACTGGTAAGTCGCTCCTCAAAGGACTATCAATAGGCCCTGACCAGGTCCAAGGTTTGCCACAGAGGAGTGCCTTAAGGAGATACACCGGGTGCTCAAACCTGGGGCCAAACTGGGGTTGATCTGGAATGCCGAAGAATGTAATTACATCCCAGTTGCCTTTCGTCGCTTCCGGAGTGACTGATAACAGACCCAAGATAATCGCCCCGAGAGCTGGCCAGCCTCTACAAAGTGGGAACAGGAGCTCAGCGAGCTCAACTTCAACGAAAAGGCGGACAACGAGCCTCGTTTCCGACACTTGCTGTGGACAAAAGTCTTCGAACGTCAAGCCGAGGCAGAGAAGCCATTCTTTTCCACGCCCATCGAGACCGAAAAAATCACATGGTCGATTTGGTTGACCCCTGATGCTTTGTGGGATAGATTCGATACACTTAGCTGGAACAAGCTTCGGCAAGGGGAGGAGCGTCGACTATTTAGAGAGAAGTTCGACAAGATCATCAAGGAGGGCGATGCTACGTTCAATGAGAACGGTGAGGTTGAGCTTCACGGGTGCACTTTCTTTGTCTGGACGTCACGTTTGGATGGCCCAGAGTGAAGAGGATGTAGAGATTAGTTTCATCATAAATCTACATGTAGAGACCGACCCGTCTTTCATTGTTCAGGACCCATCATGAGTCTGCCGAAATATACATGACTTTCAGCGTGAATTAGCAAGATTTCTGCCCATAACAAAGCGACACTCACCATTGTTTCCTCTCACAAAAGCGTCACCGTATTCCCTACGCTTCTGGCCATTGACATACTCGGCTGTCTTTTCCAGGGCAATGTTCATGTAGCCATCCACAGATTGAAGTTCGCCTATGAGTATTAGCTCCATCCTACCTGCTGTATCGTCGCACGTGAGGCGCTCAGCTGCATCGTCAAATCGATGAGTGAAGAGGTCAAGACTCACCCTTGTAGACAACGCCAGAGTTGAGCTTGACAGTAACAGGGTTGCCGATGATGTCACTCAGGAAGCTTGAAGGGTCTTTTCCCTCACCCTGAGAGATAGCGCCGTTCTCCATCGTGAAGACTTGGGGTTGCGTTTGGAGGTTGGCGGTTTGGGAGTTTCAGGGTGTCGTTGGTGGTTTATGATAATAGATCTTGGATAGAGCTTGTGGAGTTGTCTGGGTCTAGCCTGAAAGATTGATGCCTTGTCGTGGCTGTTAAGGCTGGAGTCTTTTCGCACTGTGGGGCATCACACCTGCTGTGAAGCCGCCTAACGTCCCGTTACAGCGGCACGTAGCGGTGGTATTTTTAGCGGGCGAGGTCTCTATTTCTTGCCCAGGCAACCTCCATCCCACCACTTCCAGGCGCGTAAAGTGCAAAGTGCGATTCGAGCCTTTCAACGAAGGACCCGTCCAACCTCCAGCTTCATTGTTCTTGATTACTTTTAGACCCAATCGACTGTCCTGTATCGCTTTGCGCGCGCACCTGTCGCTTTATTACTCTACAAACTGAGCGAACAACTGACGCTTTGCTATCATCGAAACTTCGTGCAAGCTAATCAGAGGCTCTTGACCAATATGAAGAAACTCCCCTTTAAGCCCACCGCGCTGCGCAGGGCAGCGCCAAAACCAAAACCGACACAATCTGAGGATTCCAAGGACAGTGATGACGACGGCCTCTCTCTGTTCCGCCGCTCAAAGGAGATGGCGCCCATCATGGCAGCTGAACAGCAAAGGCGTTGGAAGAGACATAGAGAAGCTGAGCAGGAAGCTGAGCGCAAACGACTTGAGGCCATTGGGGAGAAACGACCGCGAGAAGACTCCCCAGATAGCGATGGGCCCACCAACAAGGACTCTGGCCCCGAGGTCAGCGACGGTCTACCTTCCTTACCTGCACGGGTGGAGGGGACTCCTGTTACCGACCAGCAGCTAACACACGACGGAGCTAATCGCACCAGGTATGCTTGCTAACCAGATCGCCTAACATCGTGTTCTGATTCGTTTAGTGAACTTGTCACTCCTCCTCCCTCAAAACGATCAAGGCTTGACTCAAGCTCGGCCCAGAAGCCTATACTTAGTTCGCAACTCGACATGGACGAAGACCCTTTCCCAGACGCATCGCCAACTCGAAGATTGGGGCCGATTCATAACCCCCCTACTCCAAGTCGAAACCTGAAGACAGAAGGTTTCAAACCACAGGCCAAACCAAACACAGATCCCATAACGATTGACTCGGATTCGGAATCCGATTCAGGACCTCCCAAGCCCAAGACCGACCTATCATCGAAGCCGGGAAGTAGCAGTATCGAACTTGCGGAGCGGACCTCTAAGCCTTCTAAGGAACCAAGCCCACCACCAGTGGAGGAGGATGAGTTTGCAGAGTACATTCGCAAAGCCGAAGAGAAACGCGCCCGCCAACAGGCCCTTCAGGCTAACAAGTCTGAGGAGCAGTCCAAGGACGCCTTTAACATTTTCATTACCAGCACGATTCCTCATACTGTACCCCTGCAAGTGAGGTTTTCATTTAACAAACCTCTTCGCATAGTTCGAGATGCGTGGGTCAATCACCAAATAAGGAAGGGTGTTTCCATACAAGCAGACGATGTGACTCTCACCTGGAACAGCAAGAAAGTATACAACACTTCCACCCTGGTTGGCCTGGGCATTCGCCCAATCGGCAATGGGCGTGCTGTGAGCGACGGTCAAGGGTCCGCAGGCTTCAGAGAGAACATGTCTTCGATAAACGTGCAAGCCTGGAATCCGGAACTCTTCCAGAAGATGGAGCAGGAGCAGGAACTCCAGCGGAAGCGTGACGCTGGTGAAATTTATGGTGAGGAAGAGGAGAAGCCGGCCGAGAGAATCAGGTTCGTGATCATGCTCAAAGGACGGGATGTTGAACCGCTGGCTTGCAAGATTCTCCCCGAGACAACCGTGGAAACGCTCATCTCCTACTTCCGCCAACAGCGTAATGTTGGTTCAGATAAGCAGGTATCTCTTTGGTGGGATGGTGAGCGGCTCGAGGAGCACGTGGAGATGCAGGATGCCGAGATCGAGGCTCAAGACACAATCGAAGTGCATGTTGATTAAAGCGAGCTCAGTCGTAGCGCGATTTCTTGGCATGACAGGTGGAAGCGGACGACGGCGCTGAAGGATATGACATGATACCCAGGGAAACCCCTCTTGAGAATTAGCTCTGATGATTTTACCATGCAATTGATGTTACTCATTCATTGCTCATTTGTTATACTTCGATAATCAGATTAATATTCGAATCTGGCGCATCTCTTGCCGCCTCTATGTAATTGACCTTGGCTGTCTAGCTGCAAGGCTCTTCCCTATAACGCCTCTATTCAACCAAGACGAACCGGGCACCCGCTGCCTCGGTGTTAACAAAACCCTGGTCCCAAATAATGCAAATCTGCCCTTGGATAGTAGTATACATCATTCGCTGCCTGTGTTGTTGGTCCCAGCGACCGCAGCTTGATTTCTAGTATCTGGTATCAACCAACCCCATACTCCATGAATGCTAAAGAATACAGATAATAACATGGGCTATCTGCAGGTTTCCTGTTCCCTCTAAGAACTGTCGCGCTCATTCTGCTCTTAATCGATCAGATGTCGGGTATTGTTAGGGTACGATCGTGGAGAAATGGTACCATTCATTTTTGTGGTTCGAGTTGAAGGATAACCAGTTCCCCGTTGACGGACCTTCTCGTCCAGATCCTTAGTGTCAGTCAACATCTCTTTATGCGGCGCAGTCGTGGGACGTTGAGAGGGCAAAGGGTGGCGATTTTTCCCTCTGCCAGTTACGTTCCGCTTCGTCTGAATATCTGACGCAGATCCGCCGGCCTTCTCTTGGCCGATGATATTTTTAGTTGCCTTGAAACTTTTAAGTTGCGCCTCCTTATGTCCACCTGGGGCCTTTCTCTTGCGCCCGTTTTGTTTAGAGGGCCCGCGTTGTTTCGGGGGTTGTGCAGGTTGCTCTGTGGTAACCTTGCCATCGAAAGATATCGTGGTCTGCATCGTCTTCGTCGGGTTTTTTAACGCTAATATCTTCGGGCTTGCATGGGGAGTTGGTATGCCCTGCACCTGCTTGACCTGTTTCGATTTGGCTGCGCATTGGTCTTCACAATGAGGATACGTGGAGGCAGAGTTGACCGGAATTTCAACAGAGAAATTAAGGTGTTTGCGATCCTCTTGGCTCTTGGAGAAGGCTTCCTCAGACACCTCATAATCCTGCCCAAGGGTGATGTTCCAGGGAGGGAGTGCTGCAGATCGAGCCACGTCATCGCACTTTGACCGTACTACGATGTCCCAACAATTTTTCAGATCGGCGCCTTTGGGTTCGTCGTCCACATTGATCCAAATAGCAGTACCATTCTTTCGTCCTCGTGTGACTTGGCACATCTCCCTTACTAGTCTGCGAGTTCCAGGAACCTTTAGTGTCGTTCCAACCACTAACACAGCATCAGGGCGGGCCTTCAGATCAGCGCTTGAAACATTCCCGATGGCATCCTCGTCTGGGTTGTACTCATTATAGAGCACAAATCGTGGTCGTAGTCTGCCGATGCCATGGCTTCGCTTCCCAGCATGTGCGGTCCGAACTTCGTCGAGAGTTTTACATGTTGGACAAAGTGGAGCCTCTGGGCCGTCAAAAACCTCGCCGTTGAATTCCTGGATGTTGTTGCATTTGGTGCAGACCATTTTCTGGAGACCGCCGTGTAGCTGGATTGTAACAGGCCAGGGGCCCTTTGGGTTAAGAGGAACCTCTGTGGCCAGAGGCTTTAGTTGAGTATCAAGGCAGTCGATGTTTTGCGAATAGAGGCGTAATAAGCGGCCTTCTTGAGCCAGTGATGCTAACAGTTCGTGAAATGGTGTAGGTTTTGCAGCTTTCGTCATCGTGGCCATTTCTCTAACCATTGCATGAAAAGACTGGGTTGTGGAATCGTGTTTGTAAACTGAAGCATCGAATAGATGTTTACCAGAACCCTTGAGGTTATGCTGAGTTTTCACGGTCGCAAATAAGCCAGTGGATGAGCGGAAGTCTGGAATTCCTGCTGAAACTGAAATTCCAGCACCAGCAATGACAACAATCTTCTTTTTCTTGCGCAATGTGTCAATGAGTCTTTTCAACTGGCCACGATCTTCGGCAGTGAGTTCATCTTCGGGCTTCATCAGATCTAGGTACTCGGTAGTACGTTCTTTCGGGGGAGATATACGACGCTTTTTGGCTGGCGGGGGACCTGAAGTGGGATCATCGAGTGGTTTGGCGACAATTTCATCTTCGGACGGAAGGTCACACGTCTTGTCTGGAGAGTGCGGGCCGGATGCAGTCGTTGATGGAGACGGATAGCGCTTCGTGGGGTCGGGCATGTCAGGTGACGAAGGCAATGATGGTGTTCTGGAGAGGTTGGAGAGTGGCGACGAGAGCGTTGAGTTTTCTCCGTCAGGGACGAAAGATAGAGGGCTCGAGGGACTCATTTTGCTCCTCTTGAGGTGTGTATCGTGCGAGGAGCACCTCCAGATGAAGGGTGGAGTTTTCCGGGAGGAACGGCGGGAAAGGCGTGTGCTTGCTCCAATTCTACCTCATCGCGCAAAAGATAGAAAAGAGAAGTAGCCGGTTGCTTGTCTTTGCCCGTAGTCGAGTCAGGATGAAAGAGCGCAGAGAAGATGCAGATGTAAGTCCAATGGAAGCAGTCGATACTCAGTTTCTGATTAAGAAAAGAAACGTAGCTGGTTCGGGTACGGAAACACAAGTGAGCCAGGCAAAAGGCAAAAGCGAGAGAAGATGCTCAATGCTGATTGTGATTTGAGTACCTAGGTTTGAGTTGAAGGAGGCAAAACAGAACGAGGCAAATCAAAGCAAATCAAAGCCTAAACCGGGGGAAATGACGGAAGAGTTGTAGTTGCAGAATGCACCTCAGACCCAGAAAGCGGGTTTCGGGGGGGAAGGGAGTACCGCCTTAGCGTGTAGCAGCGTCTGCAATGCCCTTGTCTCTTAGTTTCTGCTACAGATGCAGGAGGAGCAACACGACACTGAGTACTGCACCTACTCCCATCCTGTTTCTACCTTATCCAGGGCCCTCGAGTCTTGACTAGCGCTTAAGCCACAGCCACCACTAATATCAGAAGTGTGTAGGTGAAAAGCGCGCACCCGCACAGCCAGATTGGATGACGGACGGAGCGTGGCAGGTGATCCTGGATTTTGATCGATCAATGGAGTCAAGAGAAACTTTGAAGAAGCCGGCCGGCCTTTATTAACCTCAATCAAGGTGGGTCAAGTATACAGGAACTTGTGGTGTGTTCGAGGTTGGTTTGTTGATGTTTACTCAACTGAACAGTCAAGAGCAACTAACTATTTATGTATGTATGTATGTTCATGGGTTTGAAGAGCGGTGACATCAGCTCAGGCTGTGATCTTATGCTCTGCCCTGCCCTGTCTGTGGCAATGCCATTCAACGCTGACCCTTGAAGGTGCCAGCTGGTGTGTGGGTCGTGATAGGCTGGAGTATTCTGCAGGCACACGCAACCTGCATGAAAGGCAGCGTGTGAGAGCCAATGGATAATTGCCGAGAAACGATGCTAAGGTAGTTTAGACCTCAAGAGTTCCGGGTTTCTACGGTCAGGAAACATTTCCAAATACTGAGGTATTATCTGTATTTATTGAGTCTGGCAGACTTGGGCCACACACCAAAACATGTCACCACCCCTATCCTGAGATTGCCCTTACCGAGGGGCTGGTATGATGATTCACTTTATTAGCTTATTTTGGACTGCATGTAGTGAGTGTGGGAGCGAAATAGTGCCCAATGAGCATGCTCCAAGTCGCCATTGGGTCGGGCAATCTATTTCTTTTTCTATCTGTGAACTTGCTGGCATTGCTTCTCTGTGCTCTTTATACACGTGCCTCTTTAACTCCTACGCGAGTTTAATTGTTTCGGTTTTAGAGTGATTTCCGAAATCGGCTAAAGCGTTTCTCTGTATGCATGTAATTTACGCCACTGTCTGCCACTCATGTCGAAATCGACCGCCCATGTGCAATTCCGACTATTTGTTACGCAAATAGAGACTTTCTGACGAAGCTGTCTCAATCGCTGTATTCACTAATGTCTCTAACTGTATATGTGTGAGTTACTTCTATGTGTTTCTCCATTGTAACGTCTCGAACGAGTTCTTGGGGTTTTCGGTCATGGTGTGATGCTATCTAACAAAATACACTGAACACTCTCCATGTAAGCCAGTCACAAGCGCGTCGGTATCTTGTACCTCATGATTCACTTATAAAGAGGAAATTATATTAGACCTAAGCTGGGCTTGAAAGAGTGTATGATGAATTGTTTCGATATGGTTGTCATCAGGTAACCCCGTTTGCCGAAATCGCGTGTAGCTGACCAAATGAAGGGCACCATGCATCCAATGCAAGCAACTAAAGCAAACAGTAAATGCATATGTTGTAGGGCATTGGTACTTCTAACGCACACCAATCAAATGACAACGGGAGATGCCAAAACAAACTGATTGTAGGCCCCTTTGGAGCGCAAGAAGATATCAGACTTTAATATAGGATGTCGAAATAAAACTTAGCAAAACGTATCCCAAACTCAGCAAACACATCCCAAGCTTGTGCTAATTTACCTACGTCTTTTTGTCATTTAGGATCAAGTTCCTGGGGTTTCCCTCCCCCCTAGGGCCTCCAAAGTTAGGCAGCGTTACCTAAATCCTTTTTGTAAGTTAGGATTGAGGTCCCAAGTTCCATTGTCTCCCCTCCACAATTCAATCCTTTGTCGGTTGCTAGAGGGACCGCCCACTTGGGCCCTGAGCCATGAACCCCACTAACCTCCACAAGTGGGGATGGCATGTTTCCGTGCAGAAGTATGTTCTAGGCGCGATAAGCGCCATATCCTTGTTTTAACTTAGCGCGTATGAATCGACAACCTCGGCACCAAAGGAAGACATAGATCTTATATCACGAAGTGACACGGCACGGCATTTCACATCAATGCCAAATCTTATAAGCAGAGATTTGGTTCAGTGTCAAATAATCAAAAACAATATAGTACATTAAAACGTACAACTCATCTCGTCTTAGTTAGATCCTTCAACTGACTCATCAGGTCGAGGCAATCGTGCAGCTCGGACGGGAGTACCAGCCACATCGATCGTCTTTTTCTCCCGCTCACTCCTTGTTCGGTTAATCAGCTCCATGCCGAAAATACCGCTCAAAATACCGCATAGATGCGATGCGATGTCAATCTTCAGCTTGACCGTCTTGCCAAAGGCAGCAAGTTGAGGAACGCATATGAGCGCCAGGAAAATGATGCCCGGCACACCGTCTTGGGGTAGTCCAAAGAATCTGTAGCCATCCAGACGATGCTCCCAGAAGTATGCGGCGCAAACACCCAGCGTTGCTGCTGAGGCGCCCAAAGTTGTAACGCCTAGCATGCCTCGCATAGCATATGTAGCCACACTGCCCACAAAGCCGACCGCACCGCAGCCCACATAGAGGGTAAGTAAATTGGCTCGGCCAATATCCTCATGTAGTGCGGATCCAACAAGAAAGAGGGGAACCATGTTCATGAGCAGGTGGCTAAAATACTGGTGAGAGAAGGGCGCAGTGAACATGGAAACTGGCTTAACAGCACCGACAGCTATGATCATGTAGCGGTTGAGTAACCTCCACAGAGGAGGGGCCTTCCATGCTGCCCAGACAAGCACATTGACAGCAACAATGGCCCCCAGCGTCGCATGAGCAGTAGAGATATCGGGAAAGACACGGTACCGGGGAGCAGGCTCTTCATAAACAGTGCTTACAACAGCTAGGAAGCCAATGACGAGAGCGACGAGAGTAGCGGAGGGAAGAACCCGCTCCCAGGTCTTGAGTTCTACAGGAGCTTCTAGATCAGACTGTGCCTTCTTATAGTACTCAGCAATCTTGGGGTTAGCGATCTGTCTCTCTGCTTTGTGGTCGAGATTAGCCAGAGTGCCAGAGTTTACCTCCCCTTTCGCCTCGGCTGCCTTTCGTGCTTCTGCCTCGAGGGCTTCCTTCGCCTTCCGCTTAGCAACATTCTGAGCTCGGAGTTCGTCAAGTTTGCTGTGGCCATAGACGGGGTCTGGTTTATAAACTGGAGCGGATGGCTCTGCGATTTCGGTTTCGGCCTCGTCCTTGTTCTTCTTGGAAGCTTGCTTCGGCTTCTTGGCTGCTTCCGTCTCCGCTTCAAGCTGTGCAAGCTCATCCTCAGCTCGGAGGCCCGCGTTCAGCACTTCATCAACCTTGACTGACTTTCGTAGGTACTCGAGACCCTTGGTAATCTGACCCCTGGTGTATGAAGATGTATGGACCGAAAAGGCTGGATCGTCGAGAGTGCCAGCAACCCGACGTCCGTGGAGGATTCGCAGCAATTGGTTCGCTCTTTTTGGATTGATGCCCCTTCCGAACGCTTTCACAACCTCTTCATCGGTTAGGTCCTTGCTTCTGAATTGAAGGCCGACCTGGTCTCGGTAGTCTCTGGGCAAGTCCTCATAGTTTCGGATCGTCTTATCGAAGAATATTGTTCGTCGGGTCTCGTATGAGCTATTGTTGTTTCTAAAAATGGTACTTCGACAACTGGAGGACGACGGTAGAAGACCACTTCGATTCTTTGACGCGCGGCTTGAAATCCATCGGGTTGGCGCAAACGGCTGGGCCGCAGAAGCTGATGCCTTTGATACTGCTCGTTGGAGAGCAGACCTCAGCAGCACCCTCGAGGAATTGGGGCAGGCGAATAGACTCATCGTGAATGAATGATTGAATGCGCAAGATGCGCCCTAGAGAGCCACCGGCTCGAATAAAACCACAGCAGCCACGGCGAGGGGAACAGTCGATGGATTGATGGTGTCTCTTAGCGCATGAATTAATCTTGGACGCATGAGGCCGATAATTTTGGTCACAGCATGTCAAGGATCATCAACTTTGAGGTACGTACCGCCACTACGCAGCACCCGTGGACGTTTAGCAGCCTGGACCCCACCATTACATTCAACTGCCCCGCGGTCTTCTCCAAGCTCCCTATTACATATCATACCCATCCCCAACTGAACCTCTTCACGCGGTTCTCGTCATATTTGATCATGTCTTCCACGTCCACATCCGCCGACACCACGCCAATCGCCCCCGCACGGTTCGCCGCCGCCCTCAAGGACCTCTCGGTGGGCATGTTACACCTCAAAGTCCTTGAAATCCGCAATTCAATCGCCCATCTACAGTACTCCAACGACCAGCTCAAGCCATTTGCAGAGGGCGCAGAGACCACACCGTCCGGTGAATCCTCGGGGCCCGACCAGGACTGCATCGATGCTATTCGCGAGAACGAACAAGTCATTGATCGCATGGCTGAGCGCATAGCTCTGATCCGTGCAGAGGTGGAAGAGCGTGGACTCAGCTGGACGGAATTCCAGAACCGAGATGAGACAACTAGTAAGAACGATGAAGACGCGGCTGCTGTCAATGGAGATCCTCAAGCTAGTACTGCGGCATCTGACACCGAGAATCGACACAATGCATGGAACGATGGGACTTTTCAAACGGGGACAATCCGAAACGGCGAGGTACAGGTGGATCGTCAGGCCGGTCGACCAGAGGATGGAAGTTTGAGCGACGAGCAGCTTCGCAGGGCACTAGAGGAGCGAATGCAAGACCTAGGTACAGAGGATGATGAAGGGGGCATGCACCTTTGAGATTGGGAGGCGAGAGAAGCATGAGGAAAAAACTACAGACAGCATAGCCGGCGTTTGAGAGATGGAAGGAAATGACGCCATGATACCCGATGCCTAGAACACTGATGTGCATAATCGTTCAATCATACAGAATAGTCAAGATCGGTTCGGCCTCCACTAGATCACAGTTCACAGACAAGGGAGGACGGGGTTTTTTTTTTTTAAACCAATTTTGCTATTTTTCGATCTCAGCTGGTGTCTTGCTGAGGACTTCTGCTTTTAAGGCTGCATAGTGAAGCCGCAGTGTTGTTTATAAAGTCATTCGACAGTTTGAAAGCACACATCGCCGGCCTTTTGGTGCTTCAAAAACCAAGACAAAGAAAAGATGAATCATGTAATCTGCTCCAACGCCCAAGTGCTATGCCGCCCAATGCTAAACCAAAACCGGTCCCGTATAAATGCTTATAAAACAATAGAAACATGAGCTGAAACAATGTACTGGAGAAGACGGTGGAGATAACGATGCTAAAAGAGATCAAGACATGTGAGACAGGGAAGAGACAAGACCGCAATGAGTTATGTGGCAGGGTGAAACGGTCTTGAAGAAGTAATGAGGACGTGGGGGTTGCCGTATCTTATGCGCTGTGGCTCGAGCGTTTGTTTCACGCGAATCCGACTCAGTCGGTGTCATCACCAACAGGGGATGCAGCACCTGAAAGCCTCTTGGATCGAGTGGACTTTTGTCGCTTGGATCGCTTTGAGGACATTCGGGTGGCAGTCGGGGACCTTGTGCTCATGATGGTCTCAAGCTTTGGTCGTTGCGCGGCATGTCCCGCACCCGAGGGTGTTCGGCGGGCTCCCAGGTTCATGGCACTTTGCGAGAAGGGAATGGGCGTGTCGGAATCTGAGTCATCAGAAGAATCGTATCCTGGCGGTGCGGCAACCGGTCGCAGGCGTGTCTTTCGCTTGGCAAAGCCACTGTCGAGCGAGTCGTCCGATGTGTCGAATGAAAGGCTTCGAGTTCGGTGGACGGAGAGAGACTGACTAGTGCGGTTGAGGAAGAGAGATTCGATGAGTTCGGTTTCGGTAGGGTTGCTGTTTTCCTTCTTCAGCTTCTCCATGACAAGCTTCTCGTGAACAAGTCGGCCAAGCTGCATATCGTCCCCAACCAATGTCCTGCCGCTCGATTTGCTCCCTGAACTTCCAGCCCGGCTAACAGGCACCTTGCCCTCCATGACCTTGGCTGGCGGCGGAGGCTGCAGCATCCATTGGTGGGCATTTCGCGAAGGAATCTTGCTGCTGACGACGGGAGGGTGGTACTCGTTGACGGGAGGATTCTTCGGAAAGTAAAAGTCGTGCCGTTGCTGTTCTGTTACCTCCTTCTCGAGTCCGAGTGTAGACTCGATTAATCGACCGGCAGAATCTCGTGCCTTTGATATGGCTTCCTTGAACTTTTGGCCGCCCCATTGACCCCATAGCTCCTCATCCTCTCTCTGATATCCATGTCGCCGGTTCCAATCGTCGGAGAGGTTGTCGTCTTCGGCAATGACGGAATTGCTAGCGCCGAAATTGATGCGGCTCCCTCCTTGATGTGTCTGCTCAGATACGCTGAATGCACTGCTCTCTCCACCCTGACTTGTGAGGCCACGCTGACTAGAATTCTTGCTGGTAGATTTCTTTTGTGGTAAAGATGGTCCCATGTTAATCTCCTCTTGCCAATAGGGGTTTGTGCTAAACGGTGAGGGATGTTGGTATACATCCGGTTGCTCGCCGACTACCTTGGCCTTCTCCTCGCGCTCCCTCCGAGACTGCTCGCGAACCTTTTGTCGATGTCGAACTTGGGCGCATGGTGTGCAGGCAAGAATATAGAAGACAGCGGATTGAATTGCGACGGGAAGAGACATGTTGGTGGTCGTCGCTTTGTATACAGTGTACCAGGCATAAGAGTCGCTTCGCTCAGCCGGCTTTCAATTGGGATAATGCGTATGAAACGACGAGCACGATTATGTCAAGAGAACAATGGACAGAGGAAGACAATTGCTACACCAAAAGACACAAAGACATAAAGCAAGGGAGCGGAGAGAAAGGGGTCCAGCCCAAGAATGAGCAGATTGATAGTCGAAACTGAAGAGGATGCCGATGCCGAAGGGTGGACAGCTGAATTGAGAAGAAAAACGAGTAGGGCTGAAAGCAAGAATTGATGAGGGTGAGGACTGCGGTGTAAATGAGACTGGACTTGACGAGATAGACGGTGGTCGTTCTTTTTTGGGGCGAAGGAGGCGCTGCGCCTGTACTGACTAGGCCAACGCCAGCAGTGGCCAGAACGGTGCGCAAAGGGGAATGGAGCGCAACGTAGCGCAACACAATGGCCAAATGGCAAAGGATGTAAGTATGTAAAAGTAGAAACGCTTCGTCTTTGCTTGAAGGTGGCCGTAAAGCTGAAACCGAAGGGGCCGGTCGTTGGAGGTTAAGTTCGTAAGAGGCGTTCCTGAGCGACCGGAGACGTTGGCTGTTTGGGGCTTATTGCTCTGGTGCTCTGCCGATCCCAGTGAGCGAGAGACAGACGGAAACTTGGCTAACGAGTCCCCCCTTGGAAAGGACCCCTTTGGTCCTAGAAGTTGAAGGACAGGAATGTGAGAGAACGAGAATGAGAACGCAATTCTGTCAACCAGAAACAAGTGACAGCTAACGTTGGGCCTGGGGCTCGTTCCCTTTCCCTTTGTCTCTCTGCTTTAGGGGAGTGATCGACCAACCACCAAGGGTATCGTGGTGGGTGATAAAGGGGCGCGAGACGACGTTTCACAGAGAGTTGCGGCGGGCACTAGACACTGTAGATAAAACGGGGTGGTCACTGGGTTTTTGTCTAGGTAGGTAGGTAGGTAGGGGTTTGCACAGGTCACACAATGGGCAGGGCAGAGATGATGGTGCGGGTTAGTAAAGAGGCTGAGATGGAAAACGGAATGGGTCGACCGTATAACGAGATAACGAGATATGAACGACCAGAGAGTACGGAGTAAGATACGGTCTGAGGGAGCCAGAGCTAGGAAGGAAGATTCCCAATCTCATATATTTGTGGGTATCGCAGGGTTTATGACGACTGCTGCTGTCGTGTCGCGGCCCGTCAGGTCAGGTCCATACGGGATCGGATAATGAGTAGGTTGGTGGGAGGACAGGACAAGAGACGAGGGTTCTTTTTAGGGTGGTGGCGGCGGTGATGATGGGCTAAAGAGGTGCTATAGTAACCACCTCAAGTCCTAGACCGACTACATACAAACGAGGTACGATAATATGGACGGATACAGCTTCGGCGACAGCTGGAAATGGCGCAGGCTGGTCGTATGCAGATGGATAGATGAGGTAGGTATCCGTAGGCAGCCTGGATTAGCTGCAGAAGGCCACAGCTGCAGCACGCTACAGTTCTTTGCGGTAAAGGTCAAGGATTTGGTCGACGATAATGGGGGGGGCAGGCTGGTAATTAAAGATCCAGGGGAAATGGAAGGCAGTTGTATTGGCCGAGTCAACCGAGCCACGACGACAGCATACTACCTATACTTATTACCTATACAACTCAACTAGCATCAGAAGAACATTGCCATCATGAACAATAAGCCCAGCGCATTGATCGGGGTAAAGCCATTTACCGTGTTGAATTTTCAGTTGTTTCTGTTTCTATGTCAAGAAGACGAGGGGGGAAAAAGAGGCGCACCCATCTCATCAAATACCACATGGATCACCATCGAACGTGCAGGGGGGGAGACACAAGGGACCTCCAAGGCTCCAACATGTGCTCAAGTCCACCAATGATCCAGGTACCAAGAGTCGAGGTCTACCTGTCCTCCACTGCCAATCCCCCGCTTGGTCGGACCTGGTTGGGGTGCCATGGGCATGGGCATGGATGGATCGAGCGAGCGGGTGCAGCGGCCTGGACCATCTGAGACTTCTTCAGTGCAGGGGGTTGGGCTGTTGAAATGATTGGGGAATTCAGAGAGAGGAGTTGTTCTCGGCATCAGCATCTATGGCTTGGACGGGTAATGCCTATCGAGTTGAGGGCCGAATCGTGACACCACGTCCAGCAGACTGAGCAGAATTGCTTTACCGCAAGCCCAATCAATCAATCTCTTGCCGATGCTACCTCTGATGCCATCATTGTCTATCATAATCAGTCTACAAATGGCCCAATGTAACATCCGGTCTCAGACGGGATCTGCCATCTGTTTGTTTGTTTTAGCTGATAACTCGAAGCAATACACGAAACTCTCGACCGTCAGCCAAGCCACCGTTGCACGATAAAAACAAACTACGCCATGTTCTAACTTTTACGCCGAGCAACGTAGCATACGTAGTGTCGTACTGTAGGTTCGTAGAGCTCAACTAAATTAAATTCGTGACGTCTTTGCTTCTTGGCCGCGAAACTCACATCAGTCTCGAGGCTAGTTTTCTCTATGACTGGTCCACTCTCAGATAACAACAACTCTCCCACTTGAGACTCGGTTATCCTTGTCAATGCCTACAGTGGTTTACTGTTACTGCACTAAACTAACAGCAGATCTACTAATATACGACGTCTTAATCACAGTCACAAACTACCTACCTGGGTAGGTAGTTAGATCATATAATTAAACGAAATGCAATCAATTGCCTTCCTTACGTTGCCCCATCCCGCCAAGCAAGGGAACGCCTGATGATTAAAAGGTCTGCCACGTAAATAACTCAAAATGTCCCCAAAGTTGCCGGTTCTTCCAGCGTGTTCTCTTGTCTTTCGTCATGCATAGGTTAGTAGCAAGCTTCCTCATCCCGCAACTGCACCTCATGCCCCCGCTTCCCGCTTCCGTCTTCCGTCTTCCGGCTCGGTCCCCTCATTCTCTTCCTCTCTCTTCGGCCCAATTCTTGCGTTTTTTCCCTCTCCACCCGGCTTGGCATCTCCGAACACGATCATTAACAGACCTATCACGACGGGAGGCGATTCACACCCCAATTCCCTCACCACACTAAACCCCATAACATACAGGAATATGCTCGCA